ACATATTTCATGCAACATGTCAGCTCAATGTGCTGCCTTCGTGTTGACACCTAGGTGGCGCCACTTTAAAGGACTCCCCCAGATTGCAGCGAGCACTGCGAACTGCTCGAAAAATTAATTGTGAGCAGCATTAAGCCAATTAGGGGCCACAGATTCTGACAGAACATTGCTGGCTGGCCAGTCGACAAACTAACCGCATAAATTAGCACTTGGCCGCAAAAGCAAAAGCAGAAGCAAAAGCAGAATCAGCAGCAGAAGCTGAAGCAAAAGGTCCCTCAAAGGCGGCTAGAAAAAGTTGCACTGCCTTTGGCTTTGTGGCGGCAGCTTTTGTTGATGTTGCCGTTGTTGCTGCAGCAATTGTTGCTGCTGTTGCTGCTGTTGCTGGTTGGCAAACGCGGCGCATTCATTTGGCCATAATGAGGCAACGCTTTGCCAGAAGACGAAACAAGTTAAAAAGCCGGGGAGCATTCTGTCCTTGGCCAGGGCTTTGCCACGTCACTCGTCCATTCAGGTGGCATTTGGAGGTGAGCGCGTATTTTTCCAGCACTCCAAATACGAAGGGTATTCGTACCTTTGCAGTTAGAACCAGCCAATTACGGGTCAATAATCCTTTTGCGACCAAGTCGATTTTATGCCACAGACTTCATGTTTGGATAACACATTCTAGCACTCCTTTTCATCCGTTGTGTTTTTATATATATTTTGCCTGGTCGAGCCAAATTTTAGCAGTTCGATCAAGTTTCACGTATCTCTCGTTGGTATCACCAGTGCGCTTCGTCACTACGCATACGCACAGCAGTGCTCTGTGTTTATTGGGAATACAGAATTTTACTTATTTGGGGCCGCATTTAAGCTGGGATTTTTAGGAACATTTACGATTACTTCTTCTAAAATTCTATAATATGAAATTACCAGCTTGTGATGTGAAACGATTTAATCGATAATCGCTTTACCTGTTTTTACTATAATATTGTTACGAATTGTTAAAGCTCTTAATCGATTGAATCGATTTTCTTAAAATAAAGGCGAATATAGATATATATAGATATGACTTACTTGTATCTGCCGAATCCGTGTTTGGATCTAAAAGGAAAAGCCATCTTGCAAATCATTTGCTTCACCTGAGATTTGTGTGCTGACTGCGGCTTAGCGCGTTGACACTCGCAGATGAGGCAATTATATGTTGCACGGCCAAAAAAGACAGCGAAACAAAGGGCAACGTCGCCCGAAAATAACCCGAAAAACCCCAATCGACCCACCACCCACAAAGCCGCCCTCTCCAAGGCCACAGGATAACGTATGGAGGCTGGGAGAGGATTGGAGAGGATGGCAGATAAGGGACGGCGTTGACTGGTGCAACCACGTGTCAAAGGAACTACTCCGTCCCCTGCTACCCTAATCCAACGCAAGTTGCGAGCTCCGTCTGCGGTGGCTGCCACGCCCACCTGGCCAAACAAGTTTCTACATACAACATCCGATTTATTTTTTGATTGATATTTGCGTAACTGTCAGCACTGGTGATTGATTGAAGGGTTGTGGCCCCTTTCCCGCCGCTTTTTGCCAAGCACAGCAAAAGTCAACTTACAATTACTGGCAGGGAGGAAAGGGGAAAGGGGATGGGGCAAGGATACGGATAAGGATAAGGATAAGCATGAGGATGAGGATGAGGATGGGCGGACGAAGTGCCTACTGTCAGCTGAGAAATTTTGATCTGAATAATGCGTAATGCGAAATAAATAAGTGGCATATGTGCATGCGAGTGGGTGTGCGGCAAGTGTGACAAACGATTTTCATTTTGTTTCTTTACCCGAAATTGGTCGATGGCTCTTGCTGCGCTGGAGGAGATTGGATATGTAAGCGGGAGGGTCCTGACTTGGAAATGGCGGGGGCTAACGACGAGTGGAAAAGGTTGCCGACTGACTTGATTTGATTTGATTTGATTACCGCTAATCAACTGAACTGCTCAAGGATTGGACAAATAAAGTGGTCGAATGGGTTCAAGTAAAGACGAAAGTCCTGAGCGCGAAATACTATTCAGTTCTGACCTCTAATTTTTGTACGCCCATATAAAGCATCTCTTACAGTCATTTCTGTACAGTATGTTTAACTATTTCATGTCTGCAGTTGGCAGAGCAAATGGGTTGTTTTGTAAAAACCCGCATGATGCGAATGAAAGCAGTGGAGACATAAGTTCCATTAATACCCAGTTAAGTTATCGGTTTTTGCGCCACCTCCCCTAATGATAGCCCCAATTAGTAATCCCCTGCCCCGCGAAACGGGAAACAATTCTTTTGCAGGTCCTGGGCGCTCCGTTGAGCCAGTGGTCCCCAATAATCCACCCGGCAGAGCGCGACCATCTTTCGATTTATCATTTTAAGCTGGCAAACATTATTTCTACACTCCACTCGGCAAATCTTAACAATTAACACACTTTATGCGGCATTGTCCCCGCTACCGCGCCTGCTTCCTTCATTTTAGCCAGAATTGGGGCCGATGATGAAGTCAATGGCCTCGTTGATGAACCTGACAATGTGGGGGTGTTTGAGGCCTAGCTCCCGGCTCCCGACTGCCAATACCCAGCTCCTGGCTCCCAGTGACGCATTGCCTCATTAACACTAAAGCCCCGGCATTTATTTGAGCCGAGTTGGGTGCCGTGCCCCCAGTTGGCACGCATGTTGCCACACGCGGGGCAGGGGCGCATAAAAATAAAAGTGTCTCTTAATTTGTGCGCCTATGGCACTTTCACTTTCTAGCAGTCCGTGTTTGATGCTCTCATCAAAGGCGAACGCGCCGCGAACTTATTAAGCAGCTTTCATTTTTAATTATACCCTCCACGACTCGCCGACTTCGACTCGACTTGGACTTGGACTTATGTATTTCTTTTTCCGATTCTGCGCTCGCTGGCTGTCGCAGAAAATTAAAAAATCATTTTGGAGCCCAACACCTCGGGGTCTTCGGGTCCTGGGGCTCTGGGGCTGTGGGATCCATCCCGCCCATCTAGCCGAGCGCAATCAATCACGCAAAATTTAATTAAATTCTTAAGAAAATTTAACAAAGATGATAATTGTACCCAGTACTCGCCGCGCAAAGGCCATGCTGAGTGCGGGAAAAGTATGTAACAGCGAGGAGCAACCTTTTTTTCACCCCACTGAACACATGACTTTAAGCTCCCTCAATAAATTATCATTTATGCTATGTATTGTGAGTATTAAACCACTTGCACATATAAATGATCGTCTTGAATCTCGGCAGAGAGTGTGGTTCAAACCAAGTCCAGCGGCTGAGATAATAGCCATTTGAAATTTCAGAATTCAGCAACGAAGTGACAGATATATGCTGACTGTATAACGGACTAATAGCGATTTAACGTTCAATATTAATAATTTCCGCTCTGGCGGGGCAATAAATCGAAGCTGGCGCCTCTAAGTATGCTGCGATTGTTGCCCTGCCACACGGAGAGCAGTCATATTATGCACATAAATCATAAAAACAATGTGCGTGTGTGTGTGTGTGTGTGCGTCCTGCAGCAAATGCATGTTTTCGGGCGGCAAGGGAGGGGCGGGGGCGCCATTGCCATCCGTCAAAGTTGTTCAAGTGTTTCTCCATGTTAATGCCATCCCAGCAGTCCTGGAAGTCACTCATGACAATGCCAGCGGAGCACATTACCTCAGCTTTCAGCCAGCGGAAAACATTGTTTTTTAGAAACTTTAATACTGCAGCAAGCTAACATAATTAGCCCAACTATTGCTTCATCGAATTTATTTAGCGCGCTAAATGCATGCACTTGAGAAGTCAGCAGCATGAAGCATTTCATATTAAATCCTTGTGGTTTTGCTAATTAGCTAGTTGGTTGGTTAGTTGGAGTTTGCGGCATGGCGTACTTAAATATGCTGTTTTTCCAGCATTCAGTGCTTACTAATTCAAGTTGAACGATTCGAAACCCCCTTCATTCCCAATTCCGCTACGCCACTGCTCCCAAATACTCGCACACCCAACTGCACCCACACACACACACACGGGCACACACACACACAGGCACACTCAGACACTCACTTAGCAGTTGGGTGCGAAGGACCCAAAGGAATTTTCGAGGGCCATTTACATCTAAGAGTGCAGCAGCAGTGGCAACATCGCCAGATACTCGCCACACTCGTATGGGTGGTCTGTTCTGGCCTGGGAAAGTGGATCTGGATGCGGAGAACTGCGATTGGGAGTGGGAAGCTGGGCGGGCCGGTGGCCGACACATTTATCACACATTGTACATTGTCATTTGAGTGGCTTGCCGTTTACGAGTATAAGTGTCACGACGCTTTTGCTTTCAGAGCAGCAGTGCAAGTCCTACATTTCAATCGGATCACCGGTGGGTTCCCGAGAATTCACAACGTATTTCCCGAACCACAACCACCTTAAATCTATCTGTATCTGTATTTTTCAGTCATAAGTATTCAGTACTCTGGCATGGGCATAATATAATAATATATATGAAGTTTGATGCCAATGATATGACACTAATTTTCCGATTCAAAGTCATTTTTTCTGACCATTTGTCGATCCTTCCAATTGGTTGTAATATGTAATAAGCAATATTGCATTAAGCAGAATTATTGCTAATATGATTACCCCGAAGAAAATCCCACCTTGAAGGGGCTTGCAAACCCGGTATTTTTCCAGTGTGAATAGGTAAGCCTGCTAGGTCAGCAGTTGTACAGTGCTCCCGAAAAGGACCTCCAAGGAGGCGCTTAGGGACGGAGGACGAGCACGAAGGCTCCAGGGGCAGGTAGCAGTAGTCCAATTTAGAAACCGCTAGTCCAGCACTAATCCGAAAACGTTTGCGACTCCCGAGCGTGGATGTGGATCAATGAATGAATCCGAAGGCTTTAATGAATCTGCTCGCGCGGCGATTAAAAGGGGGATGGATCGCTAATCCGCGGCCCAGGATGCTCGGGTAATCCTCGAGGGCAGCCTTCCTCGCGAATAAATAGATCGCCGGGCGGTGGACCAGGCACAGTCGTTCTACGAACTCAGCCAGTGACACACATTCCAGTACTATAGCCATGGATACGACACCTGTCTTCCAGTCCAGCTTCTCCATCCGATCGCTGCTCTCCGTGGGCAAGAAGGAGGGATCCCCCACTGCTAAGCATAACTCCGCAAGCAGCTGCAGCTCCAGCTCGGATTCGCTAGCCGCTAAGAGCAATGCGAAGCCGGCTTTCACCTACAGCGCCCTCATAGTGATGGCCATCTGGAGCAGTTCCGAGAAGCGGCTGACGCTGAGCGGGATCTGCAAGTGGATCGCGGACAACTTCCCGTACTATCGGACCCGCAAGAGTGTCTGGCAGAACTCGATCCGCCACAACCTGAGCCTCAATCCGTTCTTCGTCCGGGTGCCGCGGGGCCTCGATGATCCTGGACGTGGCCACTACTGGGCACTGGATCCCTATGCCGAGGATCTGTCCATCGGCGAGACAACGGGCCGCCTGCGCCGCAACAATTGGCCGCAGAATCCGGTGGCGAGGCCCAAGGTCGCAGGCCATCCCTACCAGCGCATGCCCTATTATGCCACCGGGAACGGCCAATATATCAAGGCTCACGGCGCCTACTTCCCCACAGTGGAGCACCAACACCATGCCGCCATGATGCAGCACTACCAGGCCATGATGCACAGATACCCGATGATGCCCCATCCGCAGCATCACTATCACCAGCATCAGCATCAGCATCAGCATCCTCAACTCATCCAACAATCGAAGCCCCTTCCTCTCCAGGAGCCATACCATCACCACCGCTATCACCTCCACCAAGAGTGAATTTCAGCGTTGAAAACTCACTTGACTACGAACTGTGAAAATTCCTTCTTGGCGTAGAACGCGGCAAATGTTGTTAGCTTTAAATCATTTAGGGTCATATCCATAGTAACTATGCCCAGGCTTTAAAATAAATCGTACAAACGTTACAAGCATTCTCTTACCAAACTTAAGTATGTTTTTAATAAATATGAATCGAAATTCAAAGACTAGTGCGCACTTCTTATTGTGCTTGGGCTTAAATATTTTGTTTACTTAAACTTAAAATTAAACTAAAAAGAAACAGCAATTAAAATAAAATTTGGTTTCCAAAGGACAAGGTTCTGTCTTTCTTAAATGAAAAAGGGCATTTTCCAAGATTCATTTTTAATTTTCATTGTATTTTATATCGTTGTGTATAAATATTGCAATAATTACTACAAAGCCTAAATGCTAGCAGTGCGCTTCGTCACTACGTGGACTGCCGTCCGCAGTGCTATTGGCCTTGTGGAAAAACCTAGCCGAAATGCCCTTGACCAGCAGGTACTTATTTCGGTTTTCAATTGCATCCCAGAAAACACCTAAATATTTCAAAACAATTTAAATAAAGGAGTCCGCTGCAAAGCTGGACTTCATGGAAGTGCTGCGCTCTCGAGGATCCCAACTAGTCGCTATTCCGGGAAGTTTGCTACTTGTCGTCGGTTGAAGCTGCATCGCCTCGTTGGATGCCACATCCAAATGCCGGCTGTAAATGACTTAAGTGCCTGGCATTTATCTACTAAAACGTGTCCTGCTTTCGTCCTTGTCATCGTCACAGTTATTCACTTGGCCTTACTTGTTGGAGTGACAGGAGCCACCTCGTTCTTGCCGCTGTCACACCTGTTAAGTAAGTGAGTTGGGCAGTGGGTGTACTTGGATGCGGATGCGGATAGGGGGCAATAGCTGCACAAGCACCCAACTTTTTTGGCCATGCGAGAGATTTTACATTAAATTCATGTGGCAGCACGAGCAACAAAAGAGTGCGCAATTGAATGCCAAATGACTTCGAAACTTCTCGCCACGCAAACAACAAGCAGAAATGCTATGACAACAAGATTCCCCTAAAATATTACACATTTTCCGTATCCATTCTGTTTGCCCAGTGTGGCAGAAGTGAATGATCCGCTTAGCAGCCCGATACCCTGTATAGGGAAAACTTAAGGTGCCCTTTCCCCCTCCGTTTCGCCGGAAAAATACAAATGCTTACTCAGCCAAGCAGTGATATTCTACAGATGCATTGTGCCACTGTTCAGAGTGGTCAAATCAAAAGTTTTCTCGATTGTCTGTGGCTTGGCTTTGGCGTTTGTTTAGGTTCCAAAAGTTGCTGATGAACGATGAGTTTGAATGCATTGTTTTCGGGTATAAGTGTACGGAATACTTTCAAAACTCCGCTGACACCTCTGTGTAATTCAATCACTGATCACACAAAAGAGTGATTGGACTCAAAAATAATATTGTTGTGCCACAGTTGGGTTGCTGTGCTTTGTCAAGGAAAACGTCTTAAATTATTCAAATCGTGAAAGGGGCAGTAACTTTTAGGGTTTTTTGGCAGCACCCTTAGTTGTTAGTTAGCCAACTATGAAATTCAGGTTAAAGCGATGTACAAAGTCACCATGTAATCAGTCGAATAAAATAAATTTCCGTTACTTTTACTCGCTACTCGTTACTTAAAAAATCGACTTCCATCTGCTCCTATGGATTTAATCGCTGCAGAGCGGAAAGCGGATGTGTACAGTGAGATTAGGGTATTACTGGACGAACTTTTGTTTCTGTTTCATGCACGACACACCTATTATGCGTTCTTTTTGAGATGGGGATGGGGCTGGGGAGTGGCTTTCAAAGAATGCACTCGGAATTTTGCCAGCTTATGACGGCAATACAGCGGACTCAAACTAGGTCACTAATGCCGCCGCCGTTGCCGTGTGCAGCGTGCATTGTCACAGGGATGTGAGTGGTACTGGGGTACATCATGTAGCGAGCTTATTCTCGGAATTTCATGAATATGTGAAATATGCAACACACACAAATTACGAAATACAAAAAAAGCCGGCGAACTGACTATGCAACATGCCTGAGTTTTTAAGTCGCTGCAGCTGGGGGAATTGTGTATTAGTCAATTAGAAAAACTGGTTAGAAACTAAAAAGTTGTCAACTAAAGGGGGTTTTTATTTTAAAGTGGGTATATTGAGTTGCTTGTTTTCATTGTTCTTTTCTTGTATGTATTATTTCTGTTTTATTTAAGTCAAATGGCCCCACACTTTTATCTGCGTGTTTTCTTGTTCTTGTGTATTGACGCCCAGTGAAATTTCCACTTCAGGCAGAGCCTCGTAGTCCTTGAAATGGCAGATATTCCACGAAATATGGATTCGCAGGATGCGCAGGACGCGCTGGAGTAATGTGAAAACTTCTGGCTGGGTGACCAGCCATCTCCATTCCTATCTCGATTGAGTGTTTAATGTTTTGTCGCACAACTTACGGCAACTCGCTGATGAGGCCACTTCTCATTGCCCTCCATCCGTCCACGTCCTCACCCCACCTGGCGCAGTGGGGAAGATTTATTTCTTCATCGGCGTCTTCCATTTGCCGGCCTGCCATTTTCCAAATAATTACACATTTACATTTTCATAGACAATTTCGGCGTAAATCACGGAATCAACTTCATTTCACTTACGAGTACATGCGAATAAAGTCAACACAGTTCGCCGTTGTCACTCCCGAGTTGCGGCTCCTTCGTTCTGGGAGTCCTGCGAGTCCTGGGAGAGGGGGCAGTTGGACGTGGCCGCCACTGTATCGGGTCAAACGCCGGAAACGGAAGTCGGGCGATGCGATGCGCTGCGCTGCGCTGCGGTGAGCTGGGATGTCCTGCACGGAACCGAACTGGAACTGAGATGGAACTGAATGGCACCGAATGGAACCGAATGGACTGCGCTGGGCGGTCCATTGTGGCGGCTTTATCTGGCCAATGTTTGCGCGCTGATGTTGATGGCTATCTTTAAAAAGACATAAATCATTTGGGGGTGGAGGCTTGTTGGTTGTTGGATGCTGGGTGCTGGGCTACCGACTGAAATACCGACTGGGAAGCCACCGGCCTAGTCTCCGTAATTAATCATAGCCCAAGGCGCCGACTTAATTCCTCGAACCGACGGCTGTGCATAGTTTTGGGCCGCTCGTTGCCATTAAGATGGCCCTTTGTGAGTGCAAATTGTCGAATCAATTTGTAACGATTATGAAATCCTTTCGCAACGGTTGCGTAATTTGCACAAATTAAGACGCTGGCCCCTTTAATTCGCATCCAATGCAAATGGAAATTCCAAATTCGAGCATGGCGAGCGGCAATACAAAGATTGCGGTCCCTTCAAAACTGTCCAATGTCGAGCCGAAACGGTCGAGCCTGGTATTCGCACCCAAACTTCAGGCTAAATTAAATTCCACTCTTGGTCAATTGCACTCAAAGAACCGCAAATAGTTATTGCAATTGCAAAAGGCCTGTGGCCAAAGCGAGTTTCTGGTTTTTGGTTTCTGATGGGCGCCAAATTGGGCGGGGCTCAAGATGCCCGAAGGGCGGACGCAGATGCCAGAGATACGTGTAACCGGAAGTGCCACACACGCACACACACTCGCATACGAATATGTCATTCATTATTTAATATCTAATTATCAAATGCTGCCCTTGTTGTCATGACTGTTGTTTGTTGCTATAGCTGCCGCTGCTGTCGCTGCTGCAGCGATAACAATTAAAACAAGGAAGGCGTCGAAATGAACATGAACAGCTGCCACCACAACTTGGCCACTAGCCACGCCTCTGCCCCTGACCACCGCCCTTTGACCTCCCACCCTCGAAAACTCGCATGACAAGCAATTGAAATTGCAAGTGGCCACGCCCACTGGCCCAAGCATCAGTTGTTCGCCTTAATTGTCGCCGTTGTTGTTGTCGCAAATTTATGAGCCGCAGTCTAGAGTGGTTTTGGTTTGGGCATGGGTTTGGGCCCCGGCGGCTTAAGAGAGCATTTCTGGTTATTGTTATGGCGGAAGTGGAGGTGGAAACGGAGGTGAAATGAAAGCACGGGCCAAGTGGTTCGCCAATTAGGCGGGGTGCCACGGCGCAGGAAAGTGCCCTTCCACCGCATTTGAACTTGACGCCCGGATGGCAGACCCTTTGGAAACGCAACTATTCGCAGATTGGAATGGTGCTTATCGCACCGCCATTGCACAAGCCCACTCCATTCAATAAGTAATGTTTGCCATTAAAGTTTAATGGAACACACTGTTTAGCTACATCTGAAACTACTCCTTGAAAGGTCCTTTGAATGCTATTGCGCAAATTGTCATATTGAGTGCTTCTAAGACAAAAAGTGTCGAGTACTGCGACTATCAGATACCAATTATATATATAAAACTTTGTAAGAAACATCTCTAGTTAGATGCGAAGATTTAATTAACTAACTACGGATATAAAATGTTTGAATAGAGGGTCAATCACAATGCCCACAAATAATTAAGTTTGTAGGTTCTACATTAAACATGAATGTGGATAACTAAATACTAATGCTCATAGTCAATCATAATGCTCCCAAATAAATACAACATATTAATCTGTTCTTATTTTTAACTGCCATCTCATTAGTGGGGACTTTAATCGCTGTAGCGGCAGGAAAAGTTCGAAGGAAAAGTCGAAGGCAAGCATTTTCCCCTTTTTCCATGTTGTCCCTCCCGTTTTCTAATCCGATACAGGTTTCAGGACTTAGGTCCCGCAGGACCATGGATGGCTGGAAGACAATGCTAAAAATACATTTAATGTGTACTTGAATAGCCAACAACTTGCTCTAAAACGTTTATCTCGCAGCACAATTAAGTTTAAATCGATCCCAGAACATATTCTCAAAATACCTTCTCCGTTTGCCAACTTGCAAACAAAGGAAGGGCGCATTTTGGCCATCGATTGGTGGCATCTGATGGATCCGTTTGACTTTCCTGTCGCTCGAACACCCCGAAAACCAGAATGCCTCGTTTCTGGGGCGAGTGAATGGAAGGAGAGCAGTACGTGATAAAAATTATGCCACATGCAACTTGTGAGCAATAAATCTTCAATTTATTACAAAATAATTAAAATTAATGAGCGAAATTGAAAATGTGCACGTTC